ATTGCGGCCTCCTAGCTGCCATAACTGTTGTCTAAATTTACATTCTCATGAGCCACCCACTTCATGGTATTTTGTTACAGAGCAACCCATAGCAGAGAGTGTTTCTGATTTAAGTCTCTACTGATGGAAGGGAGAAAGACTCAAACAACCTGCATTATGCAGATGACACAGTCTTCCCTGCTGAAGTCTACTTGGGCAGACCCTGTTCCTTCTTTGGCCCTCACTTGTTCTATCTGTGTAATAGTAATACCACGAAGTCTTTTCGATTCAGTGCCCTGGCAGTCTTTGGGTGGCTCGCTGACTCTGAAAAAGTTGCTTCTGACTGAAGTGATTGTAGTCTCTAAACTACACCGTGAGAACTCAACAGGAGAAGCAAGGTCCCTGTTCCCTAAACCCCTTGGGGGCAGGAGTAACTCCAAAGACAGGGCAGTGTGCCCTCTGGAGAGGCTGGAACCACAACAAAGCGGGGACTTGTCCCTCAGAGCAGATGCTGAGAGAGGAGGTGGAGAAAGAACCCAGAGTTCTCCTTCCTGAAAACCTGAGGGCCCACTGGGACTCAGCTGGCCCACATGCGTCTCTGCCATCCCCACAATACCTGTCTCAGAAGGGCACTCAGTGTAAAGGAGGCACCTGCTCACTCTCTCGTGCCCCTGAAGGCGAAAACACTTGAGTCACAGCTGGAGAAGCTTCAACTGGACTCACAGACTGACAGGACTTGGGACTTCAGGGCCCAGGTCCAAGTTCACCCCTCAGCAACAGCAGCAGGAGGAGCTGGTGAATTCTGTCCACTAGAATTTGCACCTGATCTCTTCCCTTTGACAATGGATGAGGCCGAGTGATGCCCCTCAGGCTCAGCCTCGGGGAGAGTTTTCCTTTAGCCCAGGAGCCCCTAAACGAAACCTCCAAGGGCTCTTCATGGCCCCTGAGTATGAGTGAAACCTGGGACCTACTCATTCACACACCCCCCCCCCTTTTTTGTTAACACACACTGAGCTAGAGCTTCTTCCTTCCCTGTCTAGAAAATGTTCACAGCTGTGGAGGCTTCTGTGCCTCTCTGTGGATGCCAGCTTCTCTGCGCCTGGTACCTCCTCCAGGAAGTCTTCCCAGATGGATCAGGTCTCGTCAACAAAGCCAGTTCCTGAGGTCACTTTCTTGTGGACAGTCTTAGCCTTTTTCTCCCACAAAATAGGAAAGGTACAGTGGAATGGCCTGGGGTGGGACTAGAAGGCTGTTAGAGAAAGTTCCTAAATGGAAACTTATGGACGGGTTCATTATCCAGAACAATTCTTACCTTTTTTTTTTTTTTTCAGTGTCATTTACTGGTTGTAAGCAGGGAACCAATGAGGTTAGTTAAGAACTAACCAGTATGGATGTTTTCTTTGTTGATGCTGACTGAATGGTGATGAAACATTCACCTTTCTAAGGTTTAATTAGTTTAGGAAGAGAAACATCATGTTTTTGGTTGCTGATAAGAGTATAGTGAAGACTCACATATGGTTTGCGTAGGCTGGTTATCACTTGATGTTGCTATTTCAAGGTTGGCATTACTGCAGCTTGAGCAGCTGCAATGTCAAGGCCAGCGGTCCTGTTCTGTTGCTAGTGAGTTCCTAAAAATTTTTTCCCCACTGATAAATCAGAATGCTGGCTAACTCTTTGGAGAAAATAAATAAAAAGATAGATGCTAGAAAAAAAAAAAAGAAAGTTCCTGAAGGGAGGTCCTGACAAAGCCGACTTGACATCAGATGTCCCGAGCTTGCCTTTGTGCAGGCCACAGGTTCAGACCAGCTCTGCCTCAATGTGCCCATGCCTGGCCTGGCTGCCAGACAACTAGATGGCCCGCCTGGACCTTGCCAGCAGATGGTCCTACAAAGGGTGACTTGGCGGGGGGTGCTGTGCTGTCTCATCCAGGAGCCAGTGACCTCATGGCCTTTGAGTGCCCAGACTTCAGCTAGTGCCAGAGGAAATGTGCCCTGTGTGAGTGCAAAATACCTACAGGACTTGGAACCTGATATGAAAAAATGTATATAAACCGTCTCATAAGTGATTTTTGTCAAAATGCTGGCATATAAAATAATACTCTCCCAGATATAATTTACTGTTGTTGTTTTACTGACGAGTCAGAGCCAGCCCGTAGCTGACCCTCCAGTGCATTTTCAGAGGCAGTGAATCGCACAAGAGGAGAGTGAGTGTCCCTCACCCTGCCATGGATCAACTGGGAGGTTCGAACCATGTGCTTTTGGGTTGCAGTGTAATTCCTTACCACTAAAGCCACCAGAGCTTCCTTGGATACAATTAGGTTGAATAAACCTTAAAGAAAATAATTAAATTAATTTACCTGTTGATCATAACTTTTCTTAATGTGGCTTCCTGCAAATGACGTCATTTCCATTTTACAGCAGAGGGCATAGACTTTGGGGGGCTGCAGTGACCTGTGGCTTCTCTCCTCGGGCTAATGGGGAGCTACCAGGTGTGTCTTGGAGAGGACGGCCAGGGCCAGATATGCAAATAGGGGAAACTCCTGTGGAGTGTGGATGCATGCACAGGTGTGGCAGTGGGAGGTGGTCGTGGCCACGCACCAGGAGAGAGGGTGCAGGGCTTGGGGTCAGGGGATAGAGGTGAGGATCCAGGAGATGGATGACAGATTTCGGGAGTAGGGCCCAAAAGGCTGCTTGTGACTGTCCATAAGAGACGGTAGAATCTAGGCCTGGGCCTGGGCAGACAGTGGCCCTGAGCAGACAGTGGGGTCTCCCTGTGACCTGGGGATGCTGCGAGCTTGCTAATACAGCTTTGCAGACGGATAAGGTAGCATTAGGAAGCAGTAAGATGTCGGGATCTGAGCCCACGAGAGAGGTAGAGGCATCTTGACTCAAGTTGTAAGTTGAGACTAAGAGCCTGAAAGGAAGCGGGGAGCACAGTGAGAGGGGAGACCCATTCCTGAGCAATTGAGCCCATGTGAGGGAGACATGGTGGCAGCTGGAGGTGGTACAGTGGCTGTCATGCTTCCAGTCCTGCCAGCGACCTTGGCTCGCCCCTCCTGGGGCTGGTGACCCAGAGGGCCTGACTCGGCTGAGGACTTGGGAGATGGGAGCTGGTTTTAAACTGCCTTGAGGCAGCCAGGCGTCCTCTCTCCCTAAGTCCTTCCTCTTAATTTGTTTTTTTAACTTAAAACTATTTTAAAACGGGAAGTGGCCTCCTTATGTTATAAGCACAGCCCAAAATCTGACCCCCGCTGGACCCAAAGGCCTCCGGCAAACCTGGCCTCAGGGCACTTGGGACTGGGCCCCAATCCTAGCCCAAGGCAAGGTCATCTCCTAAAGGGATGCTTGGGGTGCTCCTGCAGACCCCAGTGATGCTGCACACA